TAAATACTTTTTATTTTTAATGGATTGCTTATGGTTGGCAAAAATATTTTTTCCATTCACTCTCTGTTGAGCTAATATATTGCTTATCAGGTACATTCTTAGAAAAAACAGCACATTTACATACCACATTTTTTGATAAACAATTTCCATTCATTGGACAATTGTTTTTTTGTTTTAAACTAGAGTTTTCTGTCTTTTTTTCATTTAGGATTTCTCTTATGATTAACAAAGCATTATTGTGATCTTTTATAATTATTTAAAAACTTTTTGTGCAACTATCTAACTTTAATTGTTTTTTGATTAAAAATTTTATGTAATTTATTAGAGGGCAGGAAATGCTTATCAACAAATTTTAAAAACACTTTTCCTATGTTAGTGGAAACATTTTTACTATATGGGGGTTAAACCAAATTGCATTTCTATTCTTCTTTCCCTTTGTGGTATTCTTTTTTTCGGGGGTCAAATTTTGGGTAGTATTAGTTAATATTAATATACAATAATGCATCGTTTGAGTTAATATTAATTTTCAATAATTCATCGTTTGGTTTTTTAACAGGCTCATGAATTTTCAGAGAGGTTAGATGTGATAGAAAATTCAAATTCAATGCAATTTTAAAATTTTTTATAGAATCTGTTCTAATTTTATCAAGTTGTGGACCAGATTTCAAATATCAAAAAGTAGGTTTACAAAAAGAAGTCGTGACTAGGGCCGGCGCGAAAGAGGTGTGGGGATGCGACACCCCCCATCAATGTTTTTTTTGTTCATTTTTTAGTTATGGCATCTTTACGGTAAACTTTAAAATTATAGGTACTATTTTTATTGTTATTAATAGTTATGTAAAGAAAATTTAGCGTGTTATTTTCATTTTCGATTTCCATGGCGCACTGAATATTTTTATGTTTGTTATTAAGTAATGCTAAAAAGCTTTTCGCATCTTCAGTAGAGTTAAAACGAGAATGGAAGTCATCAATATATCTTTAAAATCACTTTATATGAATATTATTGAAACCGCTTGTGCAATAACATCATTTTTGGTTTTTACGATGTTTTAAAAAAGAAAGTTTGCTCAATTTTTTACTGCGCCAATTTTTTTTTTGACTTACATTTGCCGACTGCCAACTATAGATCTCATTTTGCTGACTCTGTCTATTTTGCTAATTAATAAGTTTTGTAGTGGGCTAGAAACCCCCTCATCGGGACGCCTCTCTCTCTTTCTATAAATATATATTTGTAGCGCAGCCGTGGCATGGTTAGAGTTTTGGATCAGAAACCAGAAATTCGATGCCAGCTCTAGCCTAAAACCGACATTGGTACGGAAGGAGGTGTGAACTTCTTGTTAAATGCTCTCCCGCGGTGCTCCGCGATAAGACCGTTTGGAGCACCTAAATAACTACTAATATATATATATATATATATATATATATATATATATATATATATATATATATATATATATATATATATATATATATATATATATATATATATATATATATATATATATATATATATATATATATATATATATATATATATATATATATATATATATATATATATATATATATATATATATATATATATATATAAGCTCTACGATAATTTTTAAAAAAATAAAACTTTAACTAATGAAACTAAATAATACAAAAAAATACAAAAACTCTTTTGAAAAATTAAAAAAACAAATAAAAAAAAACTATTACTCCAATCTGCTCGAAAATTCAATAGATAATACTAGAAAAAAATGGGATATAATAAAAGAAGTAACTGGGAAAAAGAAATTAAACATAAATACTGTTTTTCCAAAGTGTTTACAAACAAAAATGAACACAGATATTTTTGACAGAGAGAAAATTGCTGGTGTGTTTAATGAATTTTTTATAAACGTTAGTAAAAATTTAGCCAAAAAAATAATTCCGGAAAACAAAACGTTTGTCTTTTTTAAAAAAAACACTCTCAATTATGAATGAGTTTGAAGTATCCTCGGATAAACTTCGAACAGCTTTAAATTTACTAAAAACCAACAAGAGTCCAGGAATCGACGAAATCAATGCAAGTGCTTTGAAATCAGTATTTGATATTATTGAATCACCTCTTTTAACATTATTCAACTTATCTTTAAAAACTGGTGTTTTTCCTGATAAATTAAAAATAGCAAGAGTAGTCCCTATTTATAAAAATGGCGACGACTCTTTAGCATCCAACTATAGGCCTATATCAATACTTTCTTGTTTTTCAAAGCTTCTCGAACGTGTTATGTACAATAGATTATACAACTATCTTAAAACAAATAACATTCTGTATAACAAACAATTTGGTTTTCACAAGAGTCATTAAACATATCATGCAATAATTAAATTAGTCAATAAAATTTTGAATGGTTTCGAAAATAATGAATATACTCTAGCCTTGTTTATTGATTTAACAAAAGCATTCGATACAGTTGACCCCGAGAACCTCCTGCACAAACTAGAGATGTATGGAGTAACAGGCAACAATCTAAGATGGTTCAGAAATTACTTAAATAACAGGAAACAAGGAGTGTCGTACAACACAGCATGTACACGGTTACAAACAATAAGTTGTGGTGTACCCCAAGGCTCCATTCTTGGACCTTTACTATTTTTAATTTATGTGAACGATATTAACTTAACTTCAAACATTCTTAATTTTACTCTATTTGCAGATGATACCAATATTTTTTTTACTCACTCAAATATAAAAACAAAATTTTCTACAGTTAATCACGAGCTGCAAAACTTAAACGAGTGGTTTAAAGCTAATAAACTTTACTTAAACATCCTTAAAACCAAATACGTTTTATTTCACAAATCATCTAATTCTGTTAATTTACCACTTCAGCTTCCCCAGCTTATAATCAACAGCATTAATATAGAAAGAGACCATTCGATGAAAACCCTGGCAATAATTTTTCAAGAAAATCTTAGTTGGAAGAATCATATTTTGCACATCGAAAATAAAATCTCCAAGTCAATCGGCATCATGCATAAAATAAAACACCTTCTAAATAAAACTTGCTTGAAAAATATATATTATTCGTTCATTCACAGTTATATCAACTAAAAACAATAAAAAAAAACACACAAACAATATCGTTTGGGCAAGCACATACTCTTCAGTACTAAAAAAGATATATGTAAAACAAAAGCAAGCGTGTCGAATTGTATGCAAAGCTAACATATATACCCATGCCAAACCATTATTTAGGGAAATTCGAGCTCTAAATATTTATGTACTGAACCTTTTCCAAAATGTATTATTTATGTTTCAATCGCAAAACAATTTACTACCAAAATACTTTGAAAATCAATTTTCCACCATTGATCACAAATACCCAACAAAGTACTCTTTTCAAAACTTTAACATTCCAAAAACTTTACTTAAAATAACTGATTTCTCTATCTTATCTTGAGGACCGCGGCTTTGGAATTTGATCCTTAAAGAAGAAATAAAAAACATGAAGTTATCAAATCTCTTTAAAGCAGCTGTCAAAAAGCACCTATTTAACTTAAGTGACGTCAACATACTCTCCTACTTTTAGAAATGAATTAATAATAACTAAAACGAACTTATTCCTTTTGGATGACCACAAACGATGATTATATCACAATACAAATAGTTTTTCTTTGCTATACTCGTCTATCAGATCCTTAGTACAAAGCTTTGTTTTTTACGTACAAGGCTATGTATTTGCTTTATTTCTACTTATGAATTTTAAATGTCACATTAAGCTCACGTGAAACTTATTGCAGAGTAGGAACTAAAAGGGGCTTGACGATAAGACTGTAGTCTTCTACTTGCTCCTGTCATTATTTTAATTTTTTATCTTATTTATAAATGTATGTATGTAAAATATATAGTGACGAAATAAATTTAAATTTATTTTATATATATATTTTTATCGTCATTTGAGAAAATGACGATTAAAGATTTTGACTTTAACGTTTATAAAGTAAATATCAATCAATTAAATGTAGAAATTCTAAGTTGAAATTCGGTTCAACATTAATATGAATATTAATGTAAATATGAAACATAAATGTTGACCCAAATTTTAATGATTATAGTTTTAAATAACCAGTTTTAAGAGCCATTAATTAAAATCATTGATAACTATGGTTTAAACTTTTTAATTCTTAAAAATAATAATAAAAATTTAAACTAAACTTTGACGATTCAAAATTGTTTTTAACAGGTTTAATCAACCTTACCTTCCCTGCCCGACTAATGCCTGCTATTAGTCGGTGTAGTTAAGGCACTTTTAAAATATTATATTATATTTTTTTTTTTTTTAAATCATCTTAAAATAACAATCGCTCGTCCAAATTTGAATAAGATTTTATATTAATACGTTTTTTAGGTGAAATAAACATTATAGTTTAACAATATGATCTGTTCTGATCGTTTATTGGCAAATTTCCTTTATTAACTATATATAGTTGTCAAAACACAATAACTTTATCAATTCCGACCAGGAAAGAGCTTATAATTATAGACAGAACCGATTAGAACTAGGATTAGTTGTAAATTAAGAAACTTTTTCAAAAGATTTTAACTAAATTCATGTTAATGCCGATGAGCGGAATTGATCTAAAGACTCCAAAATAGTGTTCTTTAGATTTATTATTACGGGTAGTAAAAAGGTTTTGAAAATTATATATAAAAAAGAAAAGTTTCTTTAAATATTATAAAAACCTGAAGCAAAAAAATTATAACATTTAAAGATCTTGTTTGGACATAATATGCTGACAAAACCATGCTAATTCCAAATAAAGTATTCGAATATTTTGTAAATCGCCTTAACTACACCGAATAGGTTGATTTTTTTGTAAAAACTCAGGAAAAAAAAATTAGGTTAGCTTTAGTTACTTGGAGGGAGGAAATAATTTATAACTTTTAAACATTGATTGTAATTAATAATCCAGCAATTAGATAAAAACATTTTCCAATTTAAATATCAAACTATAAAAAAATATATAATACAAAAATAAACATCATGCAAGAATAAATATAAATTACATATTTTAAAAAGACGTTAAACAAAATCATTGAAAATTAAAACTTATTTAAAATAAAAAAATAAAAACGATTTAATTTTTTTAAAACATTTTTTAAACTAGCGTTTCCTTGTCAACTTTAAAGCAATCGAATACTTTGCTAACTCTAAGCGAGGACCTTAATTAATCAAAAAAGCAATTGAAACAGATTCTAATAATACGCTTCTTTATCGAACCAACCTAAGAAAAATAATAAAAAATTAAACTCATAAACAATGGCTGCCAAAGAAAAAAAAAATGTTAATGTTATTTTACAATTTTACAATAGATATTAACAATATTTTATGTATAAAGTATGAATAATATATGCAAACAAAAAATAACTTTGTGTGTATGTTGTGTTGGATGGATGTTGGCAGTGCTCGATTAAGGACTATAGCTCCGGGCCACAGTTTTAGGGGCCCCGATTCAAAATAACAAAACACTCTGGAAACAAATTCTTTGATTATTGACATGGAAAGAGGCATCCTGCTTCAAAATAGCCCCAAGCCCCCAAATTTTTTTAAATTTACTTGATGAAGAAATTCATTAAAAGGTATTGATGAAACCTTTTCATTATGATAAAGCTATTCATTATAATGAAAACTGTACAGTATTGAATGCAATTAACCCCTGGATGCAGTTAACATCTGCCCAAGATTAGTAATTTCATCGAAACATCATCTCTAGCCTTTACTCATATAAGAGTCCAAAGGCAAGGGTAGAATTAATTTCTCCTAGCTTTTGCCTAGAAAAGCAAATCCTTTGACAAAAATATGTAAAAAGATATCTACAAACATCTAGATGCAAGTTTAGTATCAAGATTTTTCATTTAAAATTGTAAGGCAAGTTGTTAATAAGGTATACGAGCGTCTTTGTTATCTATGTACTAAGTCTACATCTTCTTTTAAAAGAGTAAATTTTTTTTTGAGAATAATCAAACTCATCGTTTGAATATTCTCAAGTAGAAATAAATAGTCATCATATAACTCTTTAAACTTTCCTTTGGTTCTGAAGTTACAGAAACCAAGCTGAATTGATTGTGGAGGAGCTTTATCTTGAGGAGGATTGTGAAGAATCTGAATTGATTGTGAAGGAGCATTATCTTGCTGAAATGTCTCCATAAAATAGGTTTCTTATTGGAATCAAACGATTTAAAACTTTCTCAATGTATCTGTGTTGGTACATTCTATCAGCTTATGCGTAGCATAGTTCCGGCCTACTTTTTGATTTGTTTGGCACTATACTTTTTTATTTTTTCTTCAACTTCCTTGATTTTTTATGGCAACTTTGTATATACTATTATCATCAGTAAACTGTGTCTTACAGATTTTGTCCAATCTGCTACCTTTTTTTTTCCACTTGGTTATAATTTTAGTGACAAATGATTGCAATATTATCTTGAGAGAATCAATTGAATTTTTCTTTTAGAATTACCAATAAAACTCAAACTAATATATTATATATAACAAGGCTCAAATGAATTTATTGCAAAGTGAAATATCTGGAAATGTTTTGAGTTTTTTAAAAACCGTAAACTCTGTTTTTATTATTAAACAATTTTTACTACTAAATTCAATAGATGTTATTCAATAAAAAATATTTATATTGATCTTAAAATTATGATATAAAATCTCATTATAACCATATTATTACTATTATTATTATTATTATTATTATTAAGAATTTTGATTTAAAATTTAATTTTTTAATTCATTTAATAAATCATCAGGTAAAACTAGATAATCATACACTAGAATGTAATATAATAATGAAACAACGGCAAATCACAATATTCTAAAGGAATTTAGGGGTGATCGAATATTTTAAATAAAGAAACTGTGACTACTGATTAATTGTTTCATTAAAACAGCATTAACAGTTTTTAATTAAATGAGAATTTGAAGACCTGAAAATGTGCCTGTGTGTGCGTGTGTGCATGTGTATGTGTGTGTGTGTGAATATATATATATATATATATATATATATATATATATATATATATATATATATATATATATATATATATATATATATATATATATAGCTCAAGTCACTTCGTTTATATTATAAAAGATGAAAAATTACATCATGTTTGGATATATGTTATTTTCATTATTTTATTGTGATATCTTAGCTAAGTATAGTATAAGTTTAAGCCATTATATAAGTATAATATAAGCCAATCACAACTATGGGTATAAGTATGATATAAGTCAATCACAACTATGGGTATAAGTATAAGCCATTATCAAACTGTATATTTCTCTCATGTTCATTAATTCATGTAGATATTTTCTTACTTGTTTCACTGACATAACTCGTACCACGTGTACAATCTAACTAATAAACACCTGGATAACTTCTATTAGGATACAATATGGATTTATTGTGACATAAAATTTAAGTTTTATACCCACTTTGCAAAAAACAGTATTTATACCCACTTTGTGAAACTCTATTTTAAGTATAATGCTTAGTTTCAGAATCCACAGCAGCAATTTTAATGAAATAATAATTTTCAAGTCAATCTGTTGGTTTTCTGCATTTTTATGTGATAGTTTATAAATTTTGGTAATATTCAAAAATTGTTTATATGAATGTCCATTTTTTTTTTACATCTTTGCTTCATAATTATGTTAGCATTATTAAACTACTTGATTTGAAAAGAAAAATACTTTTAACAGGAATAGATATTTAAATCCATAAAAAATTTCCATGAAAATTTTTGAAATTGTTAAAAATGTGCTGCAATAACAAAAAAAGTTTGAGAGTCACTAGTTTAGCATAATTAGTATAACTAGTGACTTTTTAGTATTGTTTGAAGAAAAAAAGTATTGTTTGAAGAAAAAAAAGTATTTTTAAAGAAGAAAAAATTTGTTTCAACAATATATTAGTAAATGTTATAAATTAAAAATCAAAAACTTAATAAAAATCTGTTTAATGTTTAAAGAAATTCTCACCTTTAGGGCAACGACTGATAATATACTTTCTGAGCTCATCAACAATAATTATCAAAAGAGAAAAGGGAAGACCGGGCAGCCAGTAATAAAATTTTATAGGTCGCAAACTCAAAGCATTATTTAATTTAGGTGTATAAATAGCTAAGCAAGCCAGAGCTGTTTCAAAAAATATTGCAACGATTACAAGAAGATTTCTAAAAGAAAATAAAGATGAAATATAAATTTATAAACTCATAACTACAATTGTCATTGATTTTAACAGTTTACCTCATTCCTTGTTGAAAAAGAGACAGACGACGTGTTTTACTGGCAAGTAGATCACCCCATTGACAAACTACAATAGCAGCAAAAAAAACTGTGTAGCCGGTAGATTCTAATTCTTTTCGCTGGTGATAAGTCCATTCACTCCCATAAGAGTCTACAACATTACTTAAAGTTTTATCATCCCATTTACTTCTTAGTCCAATTAGATATAGAGGCCAAAATCCATTTTGTCCATAAACAATAAAATAAGCTAAGAAAGCACCAAACGACTAAAATAAGAGAATATATCAAAACAAAAATACCAAAAGTTGTGTAGTAAAAAGTAGAAAAGTATTTCAAATATTTTTTAAAATTGTTTTTTATAAATACAATATTCTTTAGTTCAAAATTTTAGAAAACTGATTAAAATTTGGCTTTTTAATAAAAAAAAAATTGATTAATAGACTAATATAATATGAAAAAATTCTTGCAATTGGAACAGATTCAACCATGAATAATCTGCGCTACTAATGATAAATTAAATTCATATTTAAAAGTTTTGTTGTCATTGCTAATGCTATTTTAAATTATGTAAATTTATTGTTAAAATTTGTCATTTTTTTCATTGTCAAAATTTGTTTATAGGGTTCTATCTACATTTTTTTTATGTTGTGAGAACTTAACTTTTGATATTTAATTATTAAAATGCTGCTATTCTTTATAATTATAAGCCGCTTATGTTATTTATGTTATACTATTAAACACATATCATTATTCATATCATTTTTTAAATTGTTTTTAATAATAATTATTATTTAAAACATTAAATTTTAAATTCTTTAAAAAAAAGCAGATAAAACCCAATAATTCTATTGAAAAACTTTGGCATATAAAATTCGCCGAATGGTCACACAAGAGCAGTGAATGCTTGAGGGAAGAAATGAAGTACATAAGAATAAAGGAGAATTATATTTTGAACAAAGCATATTTTGACAGATGTCAAGACAAAAATAAAGATTAATAGAGGAATATTTAAAAATAAATAAGACAGACAATGCACCTAAAACAGTACTTAACAACAGTAATAAAAAAAAATTGATTTATAAACACTAATATGAATGAAGATATACAACAAATATATCACCAAACAAAAACTTATAAAACAAAAAATTTATTACAAAATAAAAAGCATGATTATAACAATGGAAGGCCTCAGAATAGAAAAAAATATTGATGCTAATGTGTAAACATAATTTGTGTAGTGATTAAGTAATAAACATCTCCTCAGAGTCACCTCTATTATTACTGGCGTTTCGATGAGGATCAGCATTTATAACTAGTTTATCCTGTCAGACAAACGTCATCGCCACTTATGCTTTACCCTGGAACTATGCAACATAATCTCGGTCATAATCATGCAACAAATTTTCAAAGTTATTACTTTAATATTTTATTTTCAAGGTTGTTATAATATATAATAATATATATAATATTTCTGAAATTTTTTTTCGAAACAGTTTTTTTTTTTTTGATTTTCATTAAAACATTAAAAATCAAAATTATGTTAGCTTTGACTAGTATGCCAGACTAATTCCCACTTAAATTGTTTTTTGAAACACCTACCATCCCCCATAGACAGCTATCTCAAAATATTCAAAATTAAAAAGAAAAATACCTCAATAACACCTCTTATAGCATATGACTGGCAAACAAGACGAGAATTAACAAGCTTATCAAGTTTAGAGTCTCGAGGTTTGCATTCCATAATATCATTTTCAGCTGGTTCATAAGCCAATGAAATTGCTGGTACAATATCTGTGCCTACACAGATTAGTAACATAGGAATTACTCCAAGTGGTAAAGGTATGTTAAGTATAATAAAAAAAATAAATGGAGTTAATTCAGGAATGTTGCAGGTCAGACTATACACAATTGATTTCTTTAAATTATCAAATATGAGACGCCCTTCCTCAACACCAGTGACAATTGAAGAAAAATTATCATCTAGAAGTATGATATCAGCAGCTTGTTTCGAAACATCAGATCCAGCTATACCCATTGCAATACCTTTCAGAAATATTGTAATTTATAAAGTAAAATATAATAAAAATTATAAAATAATAACTATATAAATTATAAATAACCAAAATGAAAACAATCAGTAAAAATATATTATATAAATATATAAATTATTGGTTTTAAATATCAATTAATGGTTTTAAATTTTATAAAAAGTAGTACAATGGTGAACTTTGTGGACAGTATGAGTTTCAGATAATGATACTAGTATTTGTATTAATATTAATAATTCTCTCCAAGATTAAAGTAGATAAATTTGTAAAAAAATAAAATTCTGTTATACATAAATTTATTTGAATGCATGTGAAACTTTATAATATAGTATTTATGCTGTATATAAAGTGCTGTATATAATGCTGTATATAAAGTTAATTTAATTAAATTATGTAAACATATGTTATAAACTTAAACATAATATAAAAAATACCAATATCAGCTTTCTTTAACGCAGGTGAATCATTCACTCCATCCCCAGTAACTGCAACAATTGAACCCAAGCGTTGACATCCTTCAACAATAAGAAGTTTCTGCTGTGGTGAAGTGCGCGCAAAAACAATATCAGTATAGTTTTTCAAAACATTATCAAGCTCAACCTGTTTCATTTGCTTTAACGTATCTAATAATTTTAAAAAATCTACAACAATCTAATCATAGTTATTACTTTTACAGCAAACAAAAAAGTAACAGCAAGCTAAAGACAAACGAAAATGAACTAAAAAAATGGCCAAAAAGAAAAAACAAAAGATGGGCAAAAAAATAAGAAGACAAACCAGCAAACAAAAGGAAAAGCAGCAATTAGAAAAAATACTAAATAAAAATAAAAGAGGAATAAAGAAACTATAAATGTAATGCAAAAAGTTTTAAAAAAAAAAAGAGAAAAAGAAAAATGAACAACAATCGAAAAAAAAGTAGGTTAGTATCCTAAAAATATGAAAATATAGTTATTATTTGAAAAAAAAATAGAAAATTATTACGAATTGTTATAAAATTATCAACAGATTATATATTTATAATAATATTACATAAGAATATTATAATAATAGTCTAATATATAATCTGTTTATACTAAAAATTATGTTAAACAGCTATTACATCATTATGTCTTATTATGTTACCATGTGTTATTGTGTTGTCATGTGTTATTGTGTTGTCATGTGTTATTGTGTTGTCATGTGTTATTGTGTTGTCATTTGTTATTGCGTTGTCATGTGCTATTATACAGCAATTTGAGATGTTGATTCAACATCAGTCATATGAATGCAATCAGTGCATTACAAATTTTTAAATACTCTTAAATTTACTTAAATATTTAGGAATTCTTAAAAATGAAAATAAATAAAAAAACTTTAAAACTCCTTTAAATTTTAATTTGATTGAGAAACAAAAAATTTGTACTAATAATATACTTTTGCCTAAATTCAATTTACTTAATTAAGCCTATAAATAGGATATACCCCTAAGATGAGACAAAGTCAAGACTAGGGGTGGTAGATTAATTTGTATTTCATATTAATCAATTAATGATTCATTTTTGAACTATTAATCGATTAAGCTTAATTAATTTTTACAAATAAATTCTTACAGTTTAAAAAAAGTAAATACAACTTCTTATGATTTTTTTTTCTTATTTTTCATCTTATAATCTTAAAAAACATATTATATTAACATTGTCATCATTTAAACTAGTTTTATTTAAAAACTTTGGCATATAAAATTCTCCGAATGGTCACACACGAGCAGTGAACGCCTGAGGGAAGAAATGAAGTACATTAGAATCAAGGAGAATTATTTATTAGACAAAGCATATTTTGACAGTTGTCAAGACAAAAATAAAGATTAATAGAAGAATATTTAAAAATAGATGAGACAGGCTATACGCCCACAACAATAATAACAACAAAAAAAAAAAAAAAAAAAAATATGTATATATATATAAAAAATTAATTGTTTTATAAACACCAATATAAACGAAGATATACATCACCAGACAAAAACTTATAAAACGAAAAACCGATCACAAAATAAAAAATATACTAACAGCAATGAAAGGCATTTAATAATGGAAAAAAAATATTAATGCTAATGTGTAAACATAATTTGTGTAGTGATTAAGTAATAAACATCTCCTCAGAGTCGCGTCTATTATTACTGGCGTTTCAATGAGGATCAGCACTTATAACTAGTTTATCCCGTCAGACAAACGTCATCGCCACTTATGCTTTACCCCGTGACTTACGCCTATTCCATACTGCAGTAAAAAAGGACTCACTACAAATAGCCAAAACCCAACCAACCCCAAATTTGTAAAGCATCAATATTTTTTTGATGATATGATATAAAAAATGTAGATTTACTGAACAAACAAAAATAACTAAATAAAACACTTACCATATCACCAAAAGAAAATATGAGAACAAAATAAATTAAAATTCTTATAGAAACATAAAAAAATTTATAAATTTATTTTAAGAAATAAAACCAAATAGGTACTTCAGAGATACCTCATTCGAAATATGAGTGGTTAAAAAATTCACCGTGAGTAATATAACAACAATATAAGTCGTAATGTAAAAATGATGTACAAAGCTGGAAAAAAATTTATTAAAAGGTGAAGTTTTCTCTACGGTCCAAACTAAAAGAAACTTTGAGACCATATCTAAATCAAAATTTATAAAAAGTAATACTTCCTCTACGGTCCGAATTAAAAGTAACTTTGAGACCATATCTAAATTGAAATTTCCCAAAAGTAAAGTTTTCTCTACAGTCCGAATTAAATGTAATTTTGAGACCATAACAAAATAACAAGGAAAAACATACATTATTAAAACATGTCGAAAGCCGCTAGTTTATAAGAATCGCTGTTATATCTATCTATATATATATATATATATATATACATATATATATATATATATATATATATATATATATATATATATATATATATATATATATATATATATATAGATATAGATTCATATATATATATATACCCTTATAGTGTAGTCGAAAGAGCGTTTTAATGTAAAAAAAGTCTCTTACGACTACAATTTTAATTACCTCATCTCTTAAGCTGTTTTTGATTGTCATCGAAATGTCAAAGCAATTAATTTATGCGGAAGTACATTAAATTTAATTGTTTTTTAAAAATTTTTTAAAAAACCGCAATTATAACGACTAGAAAGTTTTTTTTAATTAGTGGTGTTTTTGTTATTGATTTAATAAAAAACATTTTTAAAACATGCGTAAATGTTGCTACATTGACTATCTTATAGCCTGACTCGCAACGGAGTACTGCTACATCGACTGAAAAATAGCCTGACTCGCAACGGAGTGCTGCTACATCGACTGACAAATAGCCTGACTCGCAACAGAGTGCTGCTACATTGACTGACAAATAGCCTGACTCGCAAGGGAATGCTGCTACATCGACTGACAAATAGCCTGACTCGCAAGAGAGTGCTGCTACAACGACTGACAAATAGCCTGACTCGCAAGAGAGTGCTGCTACATCGACTGAGGGTTTGGTTTGGCCAGGCAGTCTATCAATTAAAAAAAAAATTTATTTGTCAAAACTTTTTCTGGTCTGGTTTATTAACGCGCTCTTTAAAACTACAGTTAATGGGAAACTTTTTTTGATGCCACGCAAGAGACATGCAAGAGTATATATATATATATATATATATATATATATATATATATATATATATATATATATATATATATATATATATATATATATATATATATATATATATATATATATATATATATATATATATGAATCCTTAAATGAAATACTCAATCACACATGATAAACACATATAAATAACATACAAATCTATATCAACATTTCAACCACATATTATCTATTAAAAGAAAATATTATTTAAATAAGGATGAGTTCAAACAAAGATAGTTTATCTATGAAAGAACAAAAAGCATGCGAACGATGTAAACAGGCTGTATGTGCATAAGGGTGTATAGGTGTAATGTGTAAGTCTGTGCTGTTTATGTCGTTCAGTAGAGTCTTGTATTGTTAGTAACCAGCGTAAAAGTCTCTGAACTAAACCAAGCCAGCCCAGCCATACTCCAGAAAACCATGATGGATTAAACACCTATGCATGGATTTATAACTGACTTATGACTAAAAAGCTTTTTTTTCTTATTGGTTCTACATTACAAGTAGATTTAATATCAGACTCAGATGCTGCTTCTACTTTCTCATGTAGAAACAAATGTATAAAAACATCTCAAGCTAATTTAGCAATTTCAATTTTATTTGAGTATTTTAAAAGATTACCTGGTAACTCTAAATCTGATTTAAAGTCATCTGGACTCAAATAGCATAGTAAACCAGCAATAACATAGTTTCTTCATTCAGTAATTCTCTCAGAGACTAGATTTAATAGTTTTTCACCTAAGTCAGTAATTTGTTTTCTAAAATTTTGCTACAAAAACAAAATAATTTTATTAGATATTATTAGACTAGCCTCCTTTTCCCAATGCCATAACACTTAACTCTACAACATGAAGAGCTTGAGCAATATCAGAAATGTGTTTTATTTCTTTTTATGATAAAATCAAATCTGCTCTGAATATATCTACAAGTGCTTTTCCAACAACATTTTTCAATTCTAAAAATCATTTTAACATACTGATTAGAGAATTCCATCTTGTTTTAGCATCCAGAAGTGGCCTAAGCACTTTTCCTAAATCTGATATACAAATGTTTTTAAGGGTATCATTTTTAAGTGGTGATTTTCTAAACAGCTTGACAATTTTGTAAACCTTTGATATAATAATACCTAGTTCTCATTAAATTACATTTCCTTATTAACAAAGCTGATACTTTCCTCATTCCAGCATTCTTCATTTTCATTTCCATCATCAGGGTTGGAACAAGATTCTTCATTTTTATTTACCTCTTCTATAATTAGTTCTTCTCCAGTTGTTTCTGTTGCTGAACCATTTTTCTTATAAAAAATATCACATACTGGAAGATGAATTCCATGGCAATAGCAAAGTTGGTAACTCCCATTTCTCGTCCTTTTTTTTTTATAGCTGATGCTCTATCAGTAACACACCCAAAGATATCATTAATCAAATTTTAAGCCAAAATCATTTAACTTTTCAATAACATTATTAACTGCTCTTTCTGAAGGCATTGAACTATTAATTTTAATCATTACAAGACCATGATAAAATTTTTATGAACAATGTACATCAAGACACAAATATTTTCTAGTTTTAACTGAAGTCCACTCATCAAGAGAAATTGAAACATTTCTCCAGTTATTATTATTTTTTGCTGAAGATCTTAAGCATTTTTAATTAAAAAAAACAAACTATAACAATTATAGCATTTTAAAGCAAAAAATTAATTGATTAATCGTTTATTAATTAATCAATCAACGATTAATTTTTATTAATTGATTAATCATTAGTCATTTACCACCCCTAGTCAAGACTTGTCTGATCTAAAAATCTCTGTTTATTTCTTTGAATTTTATCCTTTATTATTTATTTACTTTATTTGCTGATTTAACATTTTTGTTGTTGTTGTTATTGTTGTTATTGTTGCTTTTTTTTGAATTTGTTAATTTATTGTGCCACAATTTTAATAAATGGTAAAAAATAATAATTTTTAATAACTACAACTTTGTAAATTAAAACTTTTGTATAAAAGTATTTTCAGCCACCAAAAAATTTTCACTATAAAATTTTTTAAATTTATACTCACTGAGCTTTGTTTTATAAATATCACAAACATTCTTTTTAAAATGTTTTAATTTTAATAGGTAACAAGTTGAAAAAGTTGACTATGTAGTTTTAACTTGCAGTCAGAATAGTTTTAAGTAGTTAAACTATATATATATATATATATATATATATATATATATATATATATATATATATATATATATATATATATATATATATATATATATATATATATATATATATATATATATATATATATATATATATATGTATATATATATACATATATATATACAAATAGTATTGCGTACTAAGGTAAGCAATCTGACGTCATACTGAAATAGCCTGCTGCTGGGGGCTTCAGTACATACATCGACTAACAAATAGCCTGACTCGCAGTGGAGTGCTGCTACATCCACTGAGGGTTTGGGATGGGGAAGCAATCGTTTTATTCATCATTCTTCGTTTTTTCTTCCTCTTTTTTGAAATAAACAGTATGGTTAAGGTAAGCAGAAAAAGTGAGCAAATGCTTATTAAACATATATATATATATATATATATATATATATATATATATATATATATATATATATATATATATATATATATATATATATATATCCTTTTGGCAGGTTAATCAGCTTTTAGATGAGAAACATTTTCTTACAGAAAGAGAAACAGCCTGTCAAAGAAAAAACTAGATTAGTGTTTTTACTAATTTATTTTTGCTCTATTCTTTAAGATTGAGCACTCTTTTTGTAGAATATACTTACATAATTTATATATATATGCATATATATATATATATATATATATATATATATATATATATATATATATATATATATATATATATATATATATATATATATATATATATATATATATATATATATATATATATATATATATATATATATATATATGTATATATATATATATATATATACATGTATAACTAAAAACTACATACCACCACTTATCACACATGCCTTTGCTTGAACATTACTGGCTTCTTCTATTGGTACATTCAATTTCATTTTAAAATCATCAATAACTTCTATTTCTTTAGATATAATTCCAACACCTTTAGCTATGGCTTTAGCTGTAATCGGATGATCACCTGTTACCATAATTACTTTGATACCTGAATAATTCATTTAGAAAAAATTACACATATTTAAAATTGTTTAAATATTTTTAACTACTTTAATCATTTTACCCCTTTTACACAAACAAGCTGCAGTCACACTACAGGCATTTCTCATTTTTAAATGATTTTCTATATTCAATCCTACATTTTTTAAAAATAAAGCCACTGTGCAGAGAAGCTGAATGTAGTACTACTATATCCTTTTAGGGTTTAATATTAGTTGTTTATAAAATATTAGTACCTCTTGTTTATAAAGCAACTTCTCTACTATTACACTACAACCACATAAAAGAAAAAAAAAAAATTATATATATTTATTATATATTTACTATATAGTTCTTGATTTGAAAATGTTGTATGTTTGATCTTGTTGTTGCAACTAATACATTCCAATTTCTATTTGTTGGATACTTCATAGTGCACACCACATGTGTTAACTTTCTCTATAGTACACACCACATGAACTCTATAGTACACACCACATGTACTCTATAGTACACATCACATGTACTAACCTATTCTATAGTACACACCACATGTACTCTATAGTACTTAACACACGTACAAACCTACTTTATAGTACCACACCACATGTACAAACTTACTCTATAGTATAAACCACATACAAAAATTGTATAAATTAAAATATTAAAATAATTGTGTTTAATTTTTAGTAAAATCAAATTAAAACAAAAATCTTAACTAATTTGATTATGAAAATGAAACATAATGATTACAACGAAACTAATGCAAATGAAACTAATAATGATAGGATTTAAAAAACCTACTCTAAGGTAAAAAATAAAAGTCAATTTAAAAAAAGGATTTAAAATAGGTAAAAAAAAAAAAGTAATTTAAAAAAAGGTAAAAAAAAAAAAAAAAAAAAAAAAGAAGAAAGGTAGTAAAGAATAATATTAAAACATCCAAATACTTATGCTATATAAAAAAATTTTAAAATACTCACCAGCACTTCTACACCTACAAACAGCATCTGGTACAGAAGGTCTGGGAGGATCTAGCATGCTCATTAAACCAATAAAACAATAACTATCTAGTTGAAAGTTCGGCTCTTCTGAGTTGAATTCATACCCATAAGGATATTGGTGAGAAGATAAATTACAATGGGCAAATCCTAAAACCCGTTCACCCAAACCACCTAAACAAAAAAACATTTTTTTGAATTGGTTCCAAATGTAAGTGGATTACTAAAAAAAAATTTAAAATATTTTTTCAAATAATTTTAAATTTATAAAGTTTTTTATGAATAATAATATTATTAAACTTTTAAAAATTATAATTTCCAACATTTAGAAAACGTAAAAAGAAAATAAGTAATGCTCACAATTTCTGTAATAAATTAAAAAATATAAGTTTTTTAAATTATTATTTAATAATAATATAATATGTAATATTATAATATTATGTTATAGGTAATGTTATATATGTAATATTATAATAGATATATATTCTGTTATATATTAATATTGAATTTAATGCTACCCTTACTCATTTGACATGGAACTCACAGCGGCCATTACACTCGAATTAATGGCAAGAAAGAGTCTAAGCACTTTTTTCATAAGAAAATGAGAACAAAAGTGTATAAAAATCTCTAACTTACATAAAATTTAAATTATGTAATATCAAAAATTATATCAAGTTTTACTTTTACTTGAAAATTGTATTGCAGCATCACGTTAACTTTGATTGATAGCATTTATTTGCTGATTTATAAAGTTATATCATTTTTTGTTTATTAAATAGTGTTGAAAATTGTAACATATATAAAGATATTATATACTATAACAAACAAAATGGAGAGAACTTTTAAAAGGCTTAAAATTCATACAAACATCAAAACAGCTAGAAAAATTTGTTGTGTCTATGTCATGATAGAGATCTTAGGCTTATGTTATTATATTATGAATTGGTAATTAGTTGTCGGTGTGTTTAACACATATTAAAGAGACAACTTTTGTTCTTATAGGAAAAAAGATCTTACTTCAAAATTAATTAAAGGGACAAGGATCCTAATAAAATGCGGATGGTCTGAAAAAAATTTAATAAAAACTAAATAGAAACTTAATAAAGAAAAAATAAACTCGTCACCATTTTTTATAGAAGTTTACAATTTTTCAACAAGAAATTTTTACACATTAACCACATGTAAAAAGAGATTGCAACCCCGCACACTTTTCAATCTCACTGAATCCACGCCTGGAATTGGATTTCTTATATAAATGAAAAAATATTAATTATAAATGAAAAAATGTGGCATCTTCTTTACATTTTCTACCCAGTTTTTCTTCTTTTTGTGTCTTAGATTTTTTAACTCTTCTTTCACCAATGGAATCGTAGGAGTAAGTTGTTGAGAATCGTCAATAGATTTTTAATCTTCATTTTCATTTTCGTCAATTGTATAAACTCTTGTCAAGAATTTTTTTATTTCTTGATGCATAGCGGTTCTTTAGCATCAAGAATATATTTTTATTTTTTTTAATTGTTGTTCATTTTTTAGGACTGTGCAAGTTAATTAGTAGACTTGCTAATTTATTATAAAGATTGGTGATCTAATTATCCAACATAAATTGAAAAGTTTTTGCAGTGACAAAACTCAATTCTCTTCTATGTTAATTCTATGTTTCAGTGTTATCAGGCAAAGAATTAAATCATTGATTTGAGAACAATCTTCATGTGTGAAATGTATTTCTGTTGCAGTGTCAACTAGAGCTTTTTTAATACATAATTATAAAATTGTTCCAACATATTAAGCAGACTGT